GACTGGTTTCTTTCACTTAACATAAGGTTTTAAAGCTTCACCCATGTTGTGGCATGAATCAGTACTTCTTACCTTTTAATTGCTGAATAATATTCCATTGCATGGATATACCATAATTTTTCCATTCATGAGTTAATAATCATTTGGGTTGTTCCTACTTTTTGGTTATTATGAATCATGCTGCTATGAACATTTATGTACAAATTTTTGTGTGGGCATATGTTTTCTTGGATATATACCTAGAGGTGGAATTACTAGGTCAAAAGGTAATTTAAATGGTTTAGCAAATCTGTGTTTGACTTTTTAAGGAACTTCCAGACTGTTTTCCAAATTGGCCAAACCATTTTATATTGCTACCAGCAGTGGATGAGGGTTCTGATTTCACTACATTCTCCCTGACACTCGTTATCTTTTTTATTATAGCCATCCTACTGGGTCTGAAGTGGTTATCTCTTTGAGGTTTTGATTTGCATTTCCCTGATGACTAGGTTTTACTTTTAAAACTAATTTTATTCTGTCTCTGGCCCCCAAACCAGCTCGTTTTTTCAAAAAGGCAATTTTCTGCAACAATCTATTTCATTGTTGAAAACCAATGCAGTTCAAAACCAGAAGTTTATAATGGAAAATATATCTACACAAATGGAATTAACTTGCCCTGGTGAGTTTGGCTCACTGGATAGAGCACTGGCCTGCAGACTGAAGAGTCCTGTATTCAATTCCAGTCAAGAGCATGTAACTCAGTTGCAGGCTTGATCCCCAGGGCAAGTGTGGGAGGCAACCAATCAATGTGTCTCTCTCACATTAATGTTTCTGTCTCTCCCCCTCCCTTCCACTCTCTCTAAAAGTCAATGGAAAAAATATCCTTGGGTGAGGATTAATATAAATAATAAATTCCTTTATAATAAATGGATAAATGGGATTAACTTTTTGTTTATTCCCTTTTGGTTCTGGACATATTGTTAGCAAATGTGAGGGATGTGTTTGAGGTGGCCTTAAACACTGACTTTGCAGTACACCTGCAATTCAACTGGGGGGACTTTGGAGAGCATCTCAGTCTCCCTGAGAAACAGCTAAAACTGTGATATGAGAAGCCAACATAACCATGGAACAAGGAAGAAGTGATATCATCATTTTAAGCTTCTGTGGACAAAGAAAAATGATCAGGTTACAAATATGAGCCCAAAAGCAAATGTCACAAAGGCTAACTTGAATTGCAAGGATTAACTTGCATTGGGGCTACTCTATGTAGACTGCTTAGGGCAAGAGGATGCACTAATTTAATGATCCTCCCAAATACTGCTGGAGAGACTGGTGTGTGTGTGTGTGTGTGTGTGTGTGTGTGTGTGTGTGTGTGTGTCCTTGACAATCAAGAGCAAAATTTCAGGCGTCCTCCCTGTTTAATCATTTAAAAGTACCAGTCCTTCCTTAGGCTTGGTGTCGTAGGGTACAACTTAAGCCTAGTTCTAAACCTTTCTGTGTATAAACAAGAATAGCAGCACCAAAGGCTGAAATTCATCTTATTATTGTGATTTTAATTTTTGATGGCAATGGGATATATTATATGGCTAAAAGTCTGAATACAAATGGACAATGGTCAGACCACATATGACAGAACTTTGACCATAACCTCTGTAGCAATCAGACTTGGAAACCAAACTACAGCCTCTGCAGCAAAAGGCCCAGAATGGTCAGAACTTGATCAGTAACTACCAATTTTTGTCCCCATTTCTAACTCTGGACCAATCACAGAAAGTCATCTATGCTTTCCACACCCATCACATAGGTTCCAGTCAGTCTGTTCCCGACTACCCCAGGACAACACCTAAACGAAGCACCACCTTCTGCAGAAATGAGAATGCTGGAGGGAAGTAACTGGTAATGTGCCACCACCATTCCTCACCTTCTATTCCTCTGGCTCCACAGTCCCTGGTAAGGGAGCCAGGAGGGCAGAGCCACTGGGCAAGTAAACACAGGTGGCTAAGGCACAGACCCAGCTGCCAACAAGGTGTTCTGTTAAGTCATCCCAGAAAACTGCACTCTTGCAAGCCAGCTAAAATATTTTAATTAGCAACTCTGAGTAATAATTACCAAAATTTATTCTATATGTACTTTAAAAATTAAGTCAAGGAACATTTCCCCTATCTGGCAATGTCACAGTACATCAATGTCAAATATGCAAAAGCTAAATTTCTTTTTTTTGAAGGACAGCCAAAATCACCATGAATAAGGCTTTGGTGCCCTCTTGTGGAATATTTAGTGAGAACTTTGAATTATTTACCCTCCTCCACAAAGAAACAATGAGTATTCCAGTCTTTTAAATGTAAAGCATTTTCTATGTTACACTATTTTTGAGAGACACAATTTTAAATAAAGCTTTATAAATAACTTAATTCAAACAAGAAATTGTTGAAAATGTTCAGTAAATTTTTGTGTCATAAGTTTCTGACAATTTTGCCTTTTGTCATGAATTAAGCAAAAGTAATGGAAAAACTTAGCTTTATTCAGTGCTAAGTATCAAAAATGTTTTCTCATCAGCTAAGAAATAATAATAAGACTTTATTAAGAATTTAAATATCTGGGGTAAATTTAAACATCCTTATTTGCACCCATAAAAATGCTAGTATAAAAGGATTAGATAATTCTTAAAGTGTTGTTTCTCTTTAAATTACTTACCACAAGTTTCTTACCATTTTTACCAAATGATGGGGTCAGAAGTAGGAAATACCTGTCCAATTCTGGAAACAATTAGAAGTCAAATAGAAAGAATATTCCTGCCAATCAGCTAACAAGGCTGTCAAAGAGACAGACCATAGAGGGGAAGATAGAGAGGTTCTTATGTTAGTAGAGGGTAAAGCATTCATTGTTTTCCCCCAGAATTAACACTCTTTGTTCTTATGTCCTTATTAAGAAGTGAAACAAAATACAAAAATAAGGTGCCAAATTTAATCATCCCTCTTGTTTTGGAACTTCTTGGGAACACAGAGTAGACCATCAATAAATGTTTGGTGAGCTTTTTCTTATTATTTTCTCTCACTCGGTAATTAAAACCTGTAAGAATGTAGTAATTACTGGAATGTTGTAAAATTTATTCTTGTTGTCATGCCTTGTTTGTTTAGATTACAAAGACCTTGGGCCTGGAGCAGTGGCCTTTCTCTTGAACTGAAGTCTCAGATAATAGTATATTATTCATACAATTCATTTAGTGTTCCAATGCTGAAGTTAAGTCAGCATGAGCTAAGAAACTACTCTTTTTAGGAAGAATTATTCTAAATTAGACCTTTTCCCCTGGTATACCTAGATTTTTTTTTAATGGTAAAACAATCTCCCATGTAAGACAGGTAATTATATGCATACCAAAATTAACAACAGGGACTGTGCAAAGACTTTTGTCATGTACAAGTGGCAAACTACCTCTGCTAGAATCCTGACTGTGTGATATTAGATTTAACCTGATTCTTGGTTTTCTGATATGTAAAAGGAAGATAATAACTGCCTTATAGAGTCACTGTGAGGAATGAGATGTAAACTTTATGGACTGTGTATCATATTGAATACAACTAATAATTCATACTTTTGTTTAGCTTCTAAAAATTAGAAAAGATATAGACAAAATTTAATATTTAGCAGTTAATCAAAAAAATTTAGTGGGTTAAAATTTAGGGCAGATTTTTCCAAATATATCCATATCTAATTCACACTTCAAAATGATCTTATTGAAATAATGTATAACAGCACAGCCGGTGTTGCTCAGTGGTTGAGCATCCACCTATGAGCCAGGAGGTCATGGTTCAATTCTGGGTCAGGGCACATGCCTGGGTTGCAGGTTTGATTCCTGATAGGGGGTGTGAAGGAAGCAGCTGATCAATGATTCCCTCTCATCATTGATGTTCCTATCTCTCCCTCTCCCTTCCTCTCTGAAATCAATAAAAAAAATTTTTTTTTAATGTATAATGGAGACAACCAAAGTGTCCTTCAGTAGAGAACTGGATAAAGAAGTTGTGGTAGATATATACAATGTACTACTCAGAGGAAGAGGAACATTATAAGTTCAGTTCATGGGCCAGCCTTTAAAAGGAGCACGTGGGCCCTAGCTGGTTTGGCTCAGTGGATAGAGTGTCGGCCTGTGGATTAAAGGGTCCCAGGTTTGATTCTGGTCAGGGGCACATGCTCAGGTTTCAGGCTCAATCCCCAGTAGGGGGTGTGCTGATGCTGCCAATCAATAATTCTCTCTCATCATTGATGTTTCTATCTCTCTCTACCTCCCCCTTCGTCTCTGAAATCAATAAAAATATATTAAAAAATAAAATAAAAGGAGCACCTGGGTCTCCAGCAGCCTCTGTTACTAAGTCCCAATCCCCGCTGGTTTTTATAGCCCATAAATACGGGGACTTCTCTTCCCAGCTCTGGGAGCCTGGGATGGGGGTCTTGCTCCTCACCGGCGGCCTCTGCAGAGACTATCTCCCTCCTGATTGAAGAAACACCACACATGGATGCTGGTCCAGCCGTCTTTGCCCCTCCACCCCTCTTACCCGTCTCAGTGTGCTTTCTTCTTTACTTCTCTAGTTGTGGGACTTCCATTCAGCCAGCTTTTAGGTGGTTCTAAATGATGTTGTTCTGTATTTTAGTTGTACTTTAGATGTGGTTGTGGGAGGCAGTGAGTACAGGCATTTACTTAGGCCGCCATCTTGGTTCTCTCTAATATTAAATACATTTTATTTAACCAGAAGTCTGCCCAAATAGAACACTCACCAAATTAAGAGAAAGCTTGAAATTATAAATTCAATAGAACTTCTGAAACATTTTATTTATATTTCATTTCAGTCAAATACTCATTTTCCAAATCTATAAGACCATCTATCTCAAGTTCAAAAATTTTAATATTATTTGGAAAACTATTTTAAAAAGTGATTGAAGATCATTTCAACACATAGTGATGAAATGCACAATCTTTAAATATTACATGAAATAGTTAAATACATATAAATGATAACAATGAAATTCTTTATTTAAAAACACTAAGTTATTAAAATGGGTAAAAGTGACATAGTAAAATAAAATTGTTTCTAAAGTCACTACCTTAAAGAAAACATACAATGACATGGATTATAATATAAACAAAATAGCAAATAAATCATCATCTGTCATTAATGGGAAATTTTGCATGCTTTCAAAATATCCATAATTTTAAGTCAGACTAAATGTTGCTTGGGGGAATGCTTCTTTTATATTTAAAGTCTCTTTAGAGGCGTTTTAAATTCCGCTTACTCTGGGCACTTCCTGGAAGAGGATCTTTTCTGTTTCTTGGCCTTGCTGCTCTTCTACTACATTCTTCAGACCCATGATAAGCACACAAACATAACACACAAAAGTCAAAACCACAGGCTCTGCGGCTGCACAGTCCCCTTTTCTTATATGGCTGGTACTTAGCAGGGGATTGGCACCTCGGGCAAGGTTTTAAGGCTTCATCAGTAAAAAGTGTTTTGGCAACCTGCAGTAAAAGCATATACACTACATGATCAATCAAATCTTGCTGGGAGCAATTTTTAAATGCAAATCATGGGTGATGTGAGAACCAATGGATGTGCAGGCACTGACATTCCATTGTCTGTGTCCTACAATAAACTTCCATGTTTTTAACCTCGCCTTTTTACAGGCCATAGGTCTTTTGGTTGGATTTATGGTAGCTTTTTTTAAAAAAAATTTTTTATTGACTTTAGAGTGTAAGGGAGAAAGAGAAACATTAAGAGAAAAAAAAAGCTTATACACTAAATTTTCTAGTTTCATATAGACCAGTGGTTCTCAACCTGTGGGTCGCAAACAATGAAAATACATCCTGCATATCAGGTATTTACATTACGATTCATAACAGTAGCAAAATTACAGTTATGACATAGCAACAAAAATAATTTTATGGTTAGGGGTCACCACAACATGAGGAACTGTATTAAAGGGTCGCAGCATTAGGAAGGTTGAGAACCACTGAAGACAATCACTTTATTTCCAACTCTGTAAATATTTATTTCTAATAAGATAATACTTACCCTAACATATTCTTCCTGTTTACTATGTGAGTCAATAATTGAAGAGCTTGCTATAGGTGTCAAAACTTCTCCCCAAGGAGAAAATGTTGAAACCTGTTCTTTCTGAGAACTTGGTGTCCTAGCCTGAGCTTGTACAGATCTTAAAGCTGATCGATTTGAAAGTTGAAACCGAGTGGCAGCATCCTGAACATTTAATATAGCCTGCTGTGGTAAGACAAGAGAAGTCAATACTGTAATATCAAAAGTTCTAGGACAGCTTTCTGATGCACATGTATTTAAATGTTTGGACGTGGTTTTACAGCACTAGAATTTTTCCCTAAACCATTGGACGTGGTTTTACACAACTAGAATTTTCTCCCTAACCCATATTTAAAAATTGAAAATAGCCCGACAGGTGTGGCTTAGCAGTTAAGTGTCGACCTATGAACCAAGAAGTCATAGTTCAATTCAGGTCAAAGCACATACCCAGGTTGCAGGCAAGAGGCAGCCAATCAATGATTCTCTCTCATTATTGATGTTTCCATCCCTTTCTCCCTCTCCCTTCCTCTCTGAAATAAATAAAAGCATATTTTTAAAAAATAAAAATAGAGGCGATGGGCCCTGGCTGATGTGACTCTGTGGTTGAAGCATTAGCCAGCCAGTGCACCAAAGGGTTGCAGGTTCGATTTACAGTCAACTCCATGTACCTGTGTTGTGGTTAGGGTGCATGCAGGAGCAACCAGTCGATAGGCAATCTTTTGATGTTTCTCTCTCCTTTCCTCCCTCCCTCCCTCCCTCCCTCCCTCCCTCCCTCCCTCCCTCCCTTCCACTTTCTGAAAGGCAATGGGAAAAATGTCCTCAGATGAGAATTAACAACAGCAACAACAAAAATAATGGGTGATAGTGAGGATTTGGCCCACAGTCTGGAGTTTGCCAACTTGTTTTAAGCCAGAATCTAAGAAGGGGATGAATCCTTTTAAAAGTTTGCTATGGGATATCATGAAATTCTTTGAAGGTTCTTACCTTTGCCATATATCAAAAGAATAATGGGATTAGACTATGAGACTCAATTTGTTTGGCTGTTTTTTGCAATACTTGTAAAAACTTGATTCATTTTTTCCATTAAATTTTTAATAGCTTTGATAATTTTAAAGGGATAAAAAGCAATACTCTTATCTGAATTGGATTCCCACAGCACTCAAATATTCAGCCAAGAAATATCTTAATGAGTAATCCTTACAGCCTTCTATTTTGTTGAAGTTGGTAATGAAAATATAAGTTTTTTAAAAACAACGGCATTCTTAACCAATTATCAAAATAAAGTGAACTGCAGGTAAATTTCCTCATGTGTCCAACTATAATTGTATCTCCTCTCCCTTGATAGTCTTCCTTAGCCACTATTGGCTCCTAGCAATGGGGGAACCTAGAACATGAGAAATTATAGTAGGATAAATATAGGAAATGAGGTTAGTTGGTCATGGTCAATTACATGATTAACAGTTTAACAACATATATGTAAGTGTAATGGGTGAATATTGGTTTTCAGAAATTAAAATGCGGTTGAACTTTTTCAAGGACTCAATACATCCCTATATTACATTTCTATAAATGATTTGTAGCCTAGGCCACAAACACATGACACAATAGCACACCAAAATTTCAATGAATTTTTATGAAGTTGGTAAACACAGTGATTATGCATGCACCAAGAGAATAGAGATATGTTCTTGAAGCAAATTTCAGCCACAGAAGTAACGTTCATTCATTTAACAAATATTCTGGAACACCTAAGGTGCCAAGTGAATTAAATAGTTCAATCCCTGTTCTGGAGCAATTATTTGTGTGTGCAATTATCTCTGTACAAAGCAAAACAGTTAACAAAGGCACATGTCTGTGAACATCAAAATTTTCACAGTTAACAAAGGCACATGTCTGTGAACATCAAAATTTTCTGAAACATAGTCATCAACATGTTACCAGAAAACATTTAAATGTGAGAGTGGAGTCACCTTATGTTTGTTCATTTCCATGATTATAAAAAAAAGTCCAATTGTAATGTTCATTCTCACTGCTGCAAAGCAAACATAATATTGAGATCCTATTACCCGTAGCTGGTCTGTGCCTTCTAATTTGCACACATAAGGAACTTTCAGTGATGCTAATCAAGTGTGAGAAAAACTGTCTAACAACTTTGTTTCATAATGTTTGTTTTGGTTAATGATACATTAGGATAGTTTGGTAGAAAGCATCCAGTCCGTATTAGAATAAGAGGGCATAGGACACCAGGAAGGATGTCCCTGAGGAAAAGAAGGAACAGGTAGAATACCTGATATGTTTGGACTTGCAGAGAGGAGATTTCCAGTTCTGGTGGATAATAGGAGATGAAATCGGGGACCTGTATAGAGAAACACTAAGCAAAAAAAAAAGAAAGAAACTGGGCAATTATTAACTCTGGGGGGGAAAAAAGTTATATAAGAAAAAATCTGCATATTACAACTGTCAAAAAGTCATAATAATCTCAACAGTCTTCATAATGTGAGTGCACAATTCTGATTCACTCCCAAATGGTGTAGTTATACTCATTAAGATAGAAGGAAAGGAGAAAAGCATTCAGAGAGGTGGGTAGATAGTGCTAGTAGTGATGAGAGGTTAGAGAACAGACAATCCTGTAGAAAAAAATGCAAAAAAATAGCAGTTAAGGCGTTCTATTTGGAAATGTCAGAAAGAACAACTGAAGAATTGAAAGTGATCGTCTTGATGGGATAAGAATCAAGAGTCCGAAGGCATAGGGCAGGAGGATGTGTTTTGTTATAAGTCTCATTGTCCAACTTAACTTTATGTATTTGTTTTACTTTGATAAAAAAATTTTTAGCCCTAGCTGGTTTGGCTCAGTGGATAGAGTGTCAGCCTGTGGATTGAAGGGTCCCAGGTTCGATTCCAGTCAAGGGCACATGCCCTGGTTGTGGGCTCAATCCCCAGTAGGGGGCATGCAGGAGGCAGCCAATTGATAGTTCTCTCTCATCATTGATGTTCCTATCTCTCTCTCCCTCTCCCTTCCTCTCTGAAATCAATAAAAATATATTTTTTTAATTTTAAAGCAAACCAAAATAAGGAAAAAGAGTTCAATAAGGGAAAAAAGCATAGTCCTTTAAGAAATCAAGGTTTAAAAAAATGGTGGCAAGGCTATGAAAATAATATTTTATTTAGAATTACCTAAAAGGTTGCCATACACAATCACAAGTTTCTTCCTTACAATATGTAAGGAGTACATGGGGCTTAAAGTTTAATATTAATAGGTGCTAGCTTTAAAAAAAGTGTGTTTTAAGTCTGTCGTTAGCATGTCGGGCAGCACTCTAAAAAGATGCATTAGGAAGGCAATAAATATCTTCACTATTATAAGCTCCCAAAGCCAACAGCTATAGCTGTAAGTTGCCAGGAGCTATGAATAAGTTGTAAAGCAACTCATTACAGGCAAGATGGTAAAACTTTTCTTCAAAGTAAAATAAAAAGTCAGAGCAGGTCCCTAATATTTCATTGTAATGAGAAACTCACCCATTTGTATCTGGGTGCTCTTGTCTTATGCTATGCTTCATCTCAATTATTGTATTTAATCAAATTGGAAATTTCCTTTAATATGTTATTAAATACTTCCTACTAGGGCAAGAATAAAAGGGTGAACTCTCACTTTCTTTTGGTATTGAAGCCTAAGAAAGGTCTAAAAGTTGAACATACAAGAAAGATGGGTGCCAGAATCATCAGATACCTATTACAGCAAGGAGGACTTTTCTTGTACCTTCAAAGCTGGATCTCAAATCTTCAAAGGAGGTACAAGTTTATGATGCTTTACTAGTCATAATCTGCCATGCTCACTCACCTCTAGGCCTTCATATATATTATTCCTTTTGCTGGAACACTATAGTGTCTCAGCTGAGATACACTTTTTCAGAAAAGCCTTCTCTTGATCCCCAAGTATCAAACATTCCTTTTAAATGTTCTCATAGAATTAACTCTGGTCAACCCTACCTATATCACTCACAAGACATGAGCTCCAAGAGAGCAGGGACCATGTCAGGAATGTTCACCATTGTATTCTAAGCAACTGGCACATGCCATCCACTAAAAAGACTGAAAAAATTCTGTAGGAATATCTAATTTTGAATAGGATCTAGTATATCACTAGTATTCAAATACTGCTAACAGCGCATACACTTAAACAACAACAAAACCCAACAAGATGTTCTTGATGCTAGGTAATCTACTCCACTTACAGTCCAGAAGGAAATAGAGTTTGGGAAAAGAAAAGAGTTGAGAGTGAATGTTTACTAAATGGAAAAGGGTAAAAGATAGGAAAATCAAATTTGGTTGTCCAGCAATATGGGATTAATAGATGTTTATATTTTAGAATCCATTTTAGAAAAGTATTATATACATTACCTTAGCATCTGTTTTCAGTTGTGTGAGATAAAATCTCCTCCTCTGATTTGCTTTTTTATTTTGAACAATAATTTCACGCCAATTTCTGCTCACGCTCCAAACACTATGACAAAAAGATCAGTCCTTATATTATATATATACCACAAGATTAACATTTTCTGCATATGGCAATTAATAAGAAAAACTGTTTTTAAAGATTTTGGACAGTAAGTTTTAAACCTAAAATTTACATTAAAAATATGATTTAATCTATATCAGTTTCTTATGGTTTCACCATATGAAAGAAATCCTATTAAATATATGTCAGCATTACGTTGATAAAATATTACTTTATAAATGGTTAAGGGGAAAACACAGTTTAATATAAAGCCAATATAAGTCCATGGAAGACTGATTAAGAGGATTTCATTTCAAATGTGATACTAAGATTGAAAATTTGGACATGACTTGCAGCAAATGATTATCATTTATAGCATAAAAGGTTTTTTGTGCCCTGACTGGTTTGGCTCAGTGGATAGAGCATCGGCCTGCGGACTGAAAGGTCCTGGGTTCGATTCTGGTCAAGGGCATGTACCTTGGTTGCGGGCACATCCCCAGTGGGAGGTGCGGGAGGCAGCTGATCGATATTTCTCTCTCATCGATGTTTCTAACTCTCTATCCCTCTCCCTTCCTCTCTGTAAAAAATCAATAAAATATATTTTTTTTTAAAAAAGGTTTTTTGTTTTTTAAATCAATTTCTCTTATAAATGTATTTAACAAATCTGTCATTTTCATTACACAAACATAAGAACAATCAATCCTTCATTGGAAGTACTAAATATCAAATAATAAATACTATTATGGGCAGCACTACAAAGTTTCTATCTTATAAATCACAGTTTAAGAGAACGAAGCAGCTAAAGAAAAAAATTATATTCAGTGATTGCTTATTAATCAATAACTTTGACTATACTCACTATTAAAGAAAGGTAATCCTTCAACTGTTAATCTGGTCTTTTTATTACTCTAAACTAACTAATTACTAAAAGACAGTTGAAAAACAAAGTCACATATTAAGAAGGGCCCCCCAGTTAATACTTGAGCTGTCAACACTACTATTCTTCCAGCTACCATGGCTGCTTCAGTTGCCATTGCCTCTCCCTAAACTGGTACATGTATCTTATAGCAGAATGACTAAAAGAAACACGCAGAAAGTCACCCATTTATTGGGAAGAAATGAACTGTACACTGGGTATTTGCCACAGCTATTTCAACTAACTATAATGTCCAATTACCAAGAATGAACACTGCTAACATTATACATGCATTCTACAGTACAAATACTATAAATTTTAAGGGCTGGGCAGGAAAGGCAATTATTAAAATACTAGAGGCCCAATGCATGAAATTCGTGTGGGGGTAGGGGTTCCCTCAGCCCAGCCTGTGGCCTCTCGCAATCTGGGACCCCTAACTGCTCACTTGCTTGCTCCTTACCACCGCCTGCTCACTCCTTACTGCTTGGCTCACAGCTCCTTAGCGCTGCCACAGAGGCCAGAGAGGCTCCCGCCACTGCCACTGCGTCGTCAGCCATGAGCCAGGCTTTTGGCTGAGTGGTACTCCCTCAGTGTGTGTCATAGTGACTGGTCGTTCTGGTCGTTCTGGTTGTTCCACCGGAATGATCGCTGGGCTTTTATATATCGACTAGTGGCCCGGTGCATGAAATTCATGCATGGGGCAAGGGGTTCCCTCAGCCCAGCCTGCACCCTCTCCAATCGGGAACCCCTTGGGTGATGTCCGACTGACGGTTTAGGCCTGATCCCTGGGATTGAGCCTAAATCAGCAGTCGGACATCCCCCTCATAATCTGGGACTGCTGGCTCCTAACCACTAACCTGCCTGTCTGCCTAATTGCCCCTACCTGTCCTCCCCTGCCGGCCTGATCTCACCCCCAACTGCCCTCTCTGCCTTGGCCCCCACCACCATGGCTTTGTCCAGAAGGAAGTCGTACACCAGAAGATGACCCGGTTTAATTAGCATATTACCCTTTTATTAGTATAGATGACTAAGTATCAACTACTTCCAGAAGTGAATACCCAAAAGCATCACCTTAAGTTTTTATTTTAACTAGTCATACTCCAGCATATAAAAATAAAATTCCTATATCTCAACCATCAGTTAACTTTTAAACAAATTATCTCATTTGAACATTTTAAAAGATGTACACATATATGTGCACTAATCTGTTTATTATCCTACTTGAGTTAAACCAAGTACATTCCTGATCAAGTCTATTTGGAAAGGCTTTACACCCTAATAAGTTTGTGGAAAATTCTAGATTAGAAATTCTAGATTAGAGAAATTAGAGGACTCAATTGTAGATCTAGATCTATCCTTATGTCCTTGATTAGCTGCTCAACTTTACTTCTCTGGAGCTCAGTTTCCTCGTTTTCAAAATACAGGATTGGACTAGATATGTCAGACTTCCAGCTATGAAATTATACAATTCTCTACAATAGCCTACAATTTATGCAAGGAAGGTGAAGCAGGGCTCTAATAGAAATTGTATAGCCATAAAAACAGTAAGGACTCTATGAACCAAACTCTTGACATATCCCTATCAAAAAGAGGTGCACTAACTCTCCTGCATGTCCTCCCCCAACCATTACCTTGAAGAAATCCTGTTCACATGACTTCCTGCCTTGCTAGTTATGGCATTCCCAAGGGTCTTGTCTTCTGATAGTCCTGGGACTCTTCAAAATTGCCAGTATGAACAGGGTCTCACTTTAGTCTTTGTAACCCTAGTCCCCACCCTCAATACTCCTTAATGTCTTGGTTTTCTCTTTAGTTATATAGCAGCACTCAATACACTGAAATCTCTGGGATCACAAATTCTTCAGTTTCTAATCCCTTAAAATTCCCCAAATTAATTTCCATTGATGTTAGCAATTAAAATGAAATAATCTATATTCCCTTGGTCTCTGGAACTTAAATAACTAAATGCTATCCTTTGTATATTGTAATTTCTTAGTCACCATAATGCTTTATATTATTTCTGACCAAGTATTTACTAAAATTTTCAATCAGACAACAGGATGTGAACTAATTAAATAAATCAAATAACTTTCATGGAATAAAGCCTGCCATTTTGAAAATCTAAAGTACAACTTTTATAAACTCTCCTTCCAAATGACAGGGACATGAACATTATCCCAAAGACTATATTATTGCTTCTAAAGCAGGCGTTTAGCCTGGCTAGTGTGGCTCAGTGGATTGAACATCATCCCATGGACCAAGAGGTCACGGGTTTGATTCCCAGGCATGACCAGGTTGCAGGCTCGATGTCCAATGTGGGGCTTGCAGGAGGGAGCTGATAAATGATTCTCTCTCATCATTGATGTTTCTATCTCTCTCTCCCTCTCCCTGTCTCTCTGAAATCAATAAAGATATACATATTTTTAAAAGTTGCCCAGCTGGTGTGGCTCAGTGGTTGAACATTGACCCAGAAACCAAGAGGTTGTGGTTCAATTCCTGGTCAGGGTACATACCCAGGTTTCGGGTTCGATCCTCAATACAGGGCATGTAGGAGGCAGCCAATCGATCATCAGTGTTTCTATCTCTCTATCCCTCTCCCTCATTCTCTCTCTTAAAAAATTAATAAAAACATATTTTAAAATTTCTTAACATGTTAAAAGTCTTTTATTTCAGAAAAAAATATTTCTTACCTGCATAGGCTTTCTGCAGACAAGGAATCTAAAACAACTGCAAGAATATGCTTTAGATTTCTATATTTTAATTCTGTTAAGATGTCCAGTTTTTCTATACCCATTTTCTTGCCAATCAGTCCTGCAAGTACGCACTGCAGTACAGCTATTTTCGCCTCATCCCTGTCTTCTAAGAATTCGCGTGTACCACTTTGCTGGAATCTTCTCTTTTTGTTTTTCATAAAGAGCTCATGCACTAACTGCAAGGCTGGGGTGTTTGATAAATTATTAAAACCTAAAATCAGTTCCTCACTCTGACTGTCACTGCTGGGCTGACTCTCTGAGATGTCTGAAGAAGCTGCTGGTGTTATTTCAGATTCAGAGTGAATGGTCTGGCTTTCCTCTTCTGTCTCAGACTGTGAGCCTTGCTCCCGAAGGGTAGACAGTCTTCTCAACCTTCCAAGGCGCCTTGACCTTCTTATGGTGTCCTCCACTTTGAGAGTTCCCTTATGTTTCTGAAGTAGCTCTTGAAAAGAACTCTCCTGGTCAGAGAGGGAATCTTCTGATTTATCCAAGCAAAGTGAGTTAAAACCACTGTCTTCAGGTGTTGAAATATTGCCTCTCACTTGAGGAAAAAACCTTTGACCTGCCTTAAATTTAATGTTTGCTACAAGGTTACTTATTGGAGTCACAAATATGTCCTCATCTGTTTCACAAGTTGTTCCACTACTAGAGGAGCCCAGAAGTTTGGGAAATGTATTCTCATCGTTAACACATGGACTACTATCACTAAAGTCATGGGTGATGGAGTCTTTAAAATTATTGCCCTGAATTGGTGATATACATTCATCTTCAAACAGGCTACAGTCATCTTTGGAGTCATCAACTGTGGAAGTCTTCTGTTGAGAAAAATTAAGTCTCAATTTTTGAGGGCTTAAAGTCGCTTCTTCTGTTTTCAAAGTACTAGTAACTAAAGCACTAAAATTATTTTGCCTTGGAGAACCTGAAGCACTGCTTGGAATATCTTCTTCAAAGTTGAGAACTTCGCTTATACTACTTTCTATAGAACTATTATCTGATTCATAGTTTCTCTTCAGAGGAGAGAAAGATACATCCAGCCTTCTGCGCCGCCGTAAATAACGTTTTCCGAGTTTAGGAGTCTCACAAAAGTCTGGGGGTATGGCCGATTTCTTCCTAAAGATGAGAAATCTCTTTCTTTTAGTAGGGGTCTCTAAAGGATCTGTTAAGCCCGGACTTACAGGTTCAAAAAATTCATAGTTTATTGTTGGGTCATCTTCCTGCTTTACCAAAATTAATGTATTATCAACGCTGTAAGATTTTAACAACTCACTGTAGCCACTATCTTGAAATGAAGATGTGGAAGAAAAATCTTTGAAGCCGGTGTACTTGATAGTGACAGTAGGAGAGTCCATCTCATTTCCTACTCCAGTTCCAACCTGACCTGAATGCCTTTCTGACATCTTCAAAACCTGTTTCTAAAACATGAAAACAAGATTTTATTCTTCCTTTGAAATGCACAGCCTGACAACTTACACCAAAATATACTATTTGTGATGAGTACAGATAATAACAGAAATTTTATGACAATAAAAAAGTTATTTTTTACTTGACTATGCATAGTCTAAGTACCATGCACAGTTTCTTGAACTATACTTGAGGAGAAAAAAATCTGGCAGCATAATTTTTACATGATTTTATTACCTTATGGTTTTAACAGCACTAAAGTATAACAGCACTAAAATATCACTATTTGTGGGAAATCCACTCTTTATAATGTTCTTGAAATTCCAAATAAAAATTTCAAGTAAATTAAAGAAGAAATGTGAATCAATAATTATGTATTTATAAGGAATGACACTAGCAAATACTTTACTCCTTAATTTTTCCAACAGTATCATCACATTCCTTCTTTTTAGAAACTCAAATTAAATCTTAACTCAAAGGAAGATATCAAAGGATACTAAGATAACTGTTAATCTTTCAAAGTTTTCTCCAGATCAAATATAATTTTTCTCTATTAAAAAATCATGAGAAGATATATTTTGACTGCAATGGGAAAGTAATTTATTTATGCCTAAGTTATATCAGTTAAATATTTGAATGCATGAGGTAGTGTTTTTTTTAATTGCTATTCTAACCACAAAATCAAATGGTTTCTTTATAATGATCATTATATCATTATTACTGGGCAAAGTATGTCTTTTTCAACCTACATTCTTTTTTTATATTTTTTATTGATTTTTTACAGAGGGGAAGGGAGAGAGATAGTTAGAAACATCGATGAGAGAAACATCGACCAGCCGCCTCCTGCACACCTCCTACTGGGGATGTGCCTGCAACCAAGGTACATGCCCTTGACCGGAATCGAACCCGGGACCCTTCAGTCCGCAGGCCGACGCTCTATCCACTGAGCCAAACCGGTTTGGCTCAATCTATATTCTTTTCTGGCAAACTTCACATGTTTCTTTATGATCTAGATCCCCTAGATCCTGAGAATCACTGCTATCTTTTGCACATGCTTACCAGCCAAGACTATCAACTTTTGCTTTCTAGAATTTGTATTATATTTTAAAACAATTTGTTTTCAATATATTAATAAAATAGAATATGTTTTAACATTTCACCCCCAACCACAAATGTTTCCCCCCTCTCTAAGATTCATTCTGGTAATCAACAGTTTCGTTCATGTCATTTGGCAAAATTAAGTCAAGGAATCCTTTCAAAAAGTTAAAACAAATGCAACTATTCTACACTTCACCACTAGGTGTCTCACCGTGCTAGCCTTCGGTAAACTGAGAGGCAAATTGTCAGAAACAAAGTGGAGGGGGGGAGGCTGGCTACAAGGGGTAAGTGGGAGTGGGAGAAGGGGGAGATATGTAATACTTTTAACAATACAGATTTATAAGAATAAAAAATATTACTCCATAAAAAGAACAACCCATAGGCTATTTGTTATAAACAGAAAAAAAAACTTCCTAAATTTTTTCCTGTTCATCTACACATTTGAAGTTGCCTCAGACGTGCTAGCTTTGTTGTCAACATGGTCATCTTTCTACTATCCTGACATTAGTCTGAAATAAAACTTGGTTCTTCAAAACTAATTTTTAAATTATTTAAAATTATTCATGATAGCCCTCGCTGGCTTGGCTCAGTGGGCGGAACCTCGGCCTTCGAACTGCAGGGTCCCCGGTTCAGTTCCCGGCAGGGCGCATGCGCAGGATGGGCTGACCCCGCCCCCCCAGTAGGGGGCGCGCAGGAGGCGGCAGATCAATGATTCTCTCATGGCTGATGTTTCCATCTCTCTCTCCCTCTCCCTTCCTCTCTGGAATCAATACAAATATCTTTTTTAAAAAAATAAAATTATTCATGCCAGATCACGGAATTCCCATGGACTTACTTAATTTTACTGACTCAACAGTTCACTGGTGAATCCAACAAGCCGCCTCAATATTCAGTTTTTAACACCAGGCTCCTGATAAAGGGTTGAGAACGATTCTCTCGACTGTGCTCTTAGAAAGGCGGGGGGAAAAAAGCACTTGTCAAATAGGAGAATGAAATACTTATTTAACTATATTAAAACCAAATCTCCATCGGCTGATAAAGTGGAAAATCTTACCATCCGTAAATCTTGAGCTCTTAGATGCCAAAGTTATGTGGGTTTCCACACAAGAAAATCTCTCCCTTTGCCTTTAAAATTCATGTCAGAGGAATGCCGCTTAAAGAGAAGAGTTTAGCGAGAATCACTAACGGAAACGGGCAGCAGCCCGGTGACTGCTAACCGTCGAGGGTAAGTACGGCGCGGGGGTTATTTCTAACACTTGGAAAGGCCTAAAGCACATTAAATTTCCTCCGGCTTTTCCAGTCAACAGGAACCGTAACAGCCTTGTTTCCTCCAGCTAGTGCTGGAACTGAGGAAAAGCCCCCAATTCGGGTTTCTGGGGCCGCAGTGTGAGCGGGGCGCCCACCGGCCTCCCCGAGGTGCTCTGGGCGCGCGCGGCCGGGTAACGGTCTCGCCGCCGCCTCCCTCCCGACCTTCCCCCGCGGGGCGGCTCCGGCCCGGAGAGCCGCTGACAGGCCGAGGGCCAGCGGTGTCACCTGGAGCCCAGCGAGTGGAGGGACGGCTTCGAGGCGCTCCCTACTCCCGGCACCTGGAAAACAAAGTGGGGCGCGGGGCTGAGGGACGCCCCGAGGGCCCCTTCTGGGCCCCACACCCCGAGGCCCCCACTCCCACCCACTGGAAACCAAGGTACCGCCACACCCACGGGGCCGGGCGCCGAGCCGAAGGGCGGGAGGGGAGAGAAGCAGCTCTGCCTGGTGCGCCCGGGAGGAGCCGCGGCCTCGCCCCCAGGGAGATCCGCTATGGCAACGCCCACGCCAGGTTCGCGTGGGGCCGCTGAGCTGCCCTCCTCCGGTTTGAACTGCCCGCCCCGAGTAACCGTTACGCCCCCAACGGCCGCCCCGCCCCTTCCTCCGCCCCTTCCTCCGGCCCCGCCCCAGTGTCTGCTCAGCCCCGCCCCTTCCTCCGCCCCTTTCTCCGGCCCCGCCCCAGTCTCTGCTAACCCCGCCTCTTCCTCCGCCCCTCCCCGCCCGCGCCCTGCAGGCCCCGCCCCCACAGGCCTCCTGCGCCTCGAAGGTTCCGCCCCCCGTCTTTGCTCCGCCCCGCCCCTCCAGTAGGCCCCGCCCCCACAGGCTTCCCTGCGCCCCGCAGGCCCCGCCCCAGCCTTCGCCCGGGGGTCTCGTCCTCTCCTGCCTACCCGAGTATAGGTTTTTGAAAACGAAGATGAATTCCGCACGAGGTTGCTGAGATACCTGTAGAATTACACATTCTTTCCTAAAGATAGGATAGGTCTTCACATCTCTATTACAGCCACACGCCCTTCTCTGCCCAGCATTTGTAATTCTTCTCTGAATTTTGTCTGAGCAGTTTATCACCTCCTAAAACACCATGTTATCTAGTTATTGTGTTTCATTTTTTTAAGTATATTTTTATTGATTTTTAGAGAGAGCGAGCGAGAATCGTTGATGGGCTGCCTCCTGTATGCCCCCTATTTGGGGATCAAGCCCACAACCCGGGCATGCGCCCTGGACCAGGCTCGAACCCCGGACCCTTCAGTCCACAGACCAACGCTCTACCCACTGAGCCAAACCAGCTCGAGCAGAACATCCTTTTCGCGGTTTCTCTCCCACCCCTCTGCCCCCCTGGAGAAGTGATACTTTCTACAGACTTCTTTAATCAGAAACGCAAACCTCATGAAACTTAGGGAACTGTTAAAAATGCTTTGCTTTCCTGAAAAATGAAATAGCCGAGGGCGAAGCGGGAATGTCTGCCCACAGTCCAACATCCAAAAACTTCGGTCAGTGTTCTCAACCTTCTGGCCCTTTAAATACAGTTCCTCATGTTGTGACCCAACCCATAAAATTATTTTCGTTGCTTACTTCATACTATAATGTGCTACTATTATGAATCGTAATGTAAATATCTGATATGCAGGATGGTCTTAGCCGACCCTGTGAAAGGGTTGTCGACCGCAAAGGGGTCGTGACCCACAGGTTGAGAACCGCTGATCGCCTGCTCCGCAAGGCTCAATCGGGCACTCGCTCGCAAGGGGCGGGGACTCCGTTGCGTCACAAGCTGGCGCCGGAAGTGGGGTGCGCACGCTGAGGTGCTGCGCAGTCGGTTTGGAATCGCAGCGGGAGGAGCGCGTTGGTCCTGAGTGAGTAGGGGGCTCGCCTGGTTGGGATTTGGGGTGTCTCTGGGCCCAAACCCGAAAGGCGCCCGAGGTTTAAAGGCCGGGTGTGGGGTTGGGGTTGGGCGAGGCTGGGGACAGAGCCGATGCTGTTAGTCCTTTGCCTGGTTTCTTTAGTTTAGGGGCTTAGTCATTGGGGGTTGTTTTATTCGCCTTCCCTTATCTCTGGGGCGCACGATCCCGTGGAGAGAGGTCATTTTTTGGCTGTCCTTTGCTAAAGTTTGGAGAAATGGGACTTTTCCTTGTGCTGAGTGAGAATGCGAGCTTTGCAGTCAGTTCTGAACTCGTCTGCCTCCTCCTGATCCTGCGCGTATTAGCTTCTCTAAGCCCGGGTTCCTTCAGCTGCAGAATAAGAGTAATACCTCGCGGGACTGTTGTAAAGATGATCGTAAAGTAACAGGTGTAAGTGAGATAGCATATGCGAAGCGTTTATTACTGTGTCCGGTTTGTGGATAAGTGCACAATACGTTGTGGGGTGTTGTTTTTTTGTTGTTTTATTTCGTCCTTTAGACCTATGCATGGTATTTGGAAAAGTGCAGATTAGGAATGGGGACCTTTTCAGCCTTCTCTGAGAAGAACGAGGGCTGGTTGGGTGTGTGATACTCAGTATTGAATCTGATTTCAGGGGTTAACAATGGACACCCAGAAGGACGCTCAACCCCCCAAGCAGCAGCCAATGATATATATCTGTGGAGGTAAGAGTAGCACTTACATGAAGTAAGACGATTTTACTTCACTTTTTAAAAATTACTATTTTCTCTTTGGCTTAAATGAGTCACTCGCCTTTAAAATTATACAGCAGAAACTTTAGCCACCATAAAAATCCTCTCAAGATTTCATTTTCCCTCCTAGAAAAAGTGCTTGCCCAAACTCTTCTTCCCCTCTTAATATATTGGTAATAAGCCTTGGCTGGTGGCCTATGGTTGGAGCGTCGGCCTGGGCATCAAAAGGTCTTAGGGTTGGATTCCGGGAGCACCCGTCTCTCTCCCCCTCCTCCCCCCCTCCCCCTGCCCTTCCCCTTCCCTCTCTTCTCTCCCCTCCAGTCTCTCTAAAAATCAGTGGAAAAATACCCTCAGGTGAGGATTTAAAAAAAAAAAAATTGGTAATAACAACGTAACCTTGAGATTGAGTATATTTTAATGATTTGGGTGAAAAATATTGTTAATATTTGCTTGTCCGTAATGTTTTCCTTTTAGGTACTGAATTAATGTGTTTACTTTTCTAGAATGTCACGCAGAAAATGAAATAAAATCCAGGGATCCAATCAGATGCAGAGAATGTGGATACAGAATAATGTACAAGAAAAGGACTAAAAGATGTATCCTTTTAACTGTGCTTTCTAAATAAGAGGTAGGAGGAAATTAAGAATAATGCTTGGGTTGATACTCAAAGACTAATTTCTGGTAAAAATGGTAATAACTTTTGGATTACTTACCCCAAAAAAGATACAGTCAGCATTTTCACGGACCAGTATGCCATTGTATAGTCACATATTATATAATCTTAATACTAGTTGATTTTGGTTCTCATAAGTCTAATTTTCAGGGATTCTGTGTTTAACTAAATACTCATGTGAGCTTGAGTTTATGGATAAACTAAATTATAGGAGAAATACAGATATTATGTATGCTACCACATGGGAAAAGTGAGCCTTCCAAATTAGTTGAAAGACTGAGAGGAAATTGTTGTGTAGTAAAAATATGTTTTTATTGATTTTAGAGAGAGGAAGGGAGAGGGATAGAGAGATAGAAACATTGAAAAGAGAGAAACATCGATTGGCTGCCTCCTGCATGACCCCCACTGGAGATCAAGCCCAAAACTGGGGCATGTGCCCTGACCGGGAATCGAACTGATGACCTCTTGGTTCATGGGTGGGTCAATGCTCAACCATGGAGCCACATGGGCTGGACTGCTTCAGTGTTTTTTGGTGCATTGGTCTTTTGTATCATGGAAAGACAGCTAATAAAAATAGTCATAATGATGAATTCTATACTTTTGGGCTTTTAGATTAAATTAGAAACTATCACACTGTAAAGAGAAAGTGACTTGGAAGTATTAAAGTCTTTTATATAACTTACTCTTTTTGTCCTTAACTCAGTTTTCTACAGTGGTGGTTTTTGATGCTCGATGAAACGGAATTCAGAAGAATATCTTTGTTTGCATTTGGATTTGCTGTTATTATTGTATAGTTTTTGATGAGTATACTTATCTTTGTGAATACAACTACTAGTATATACATGATTTCATTTTTAAAACCATATTGTATTTAGTGTCTATTATAAAGATTTTTTTGTTCAGTTCCATGATTTGTACTTTAATTTTGTGTGTGTGTGTGTAATTTAATTTTGTTGTATATTTCATCTGACATGAAAAAGGTTAAAAGTGCTTCGCCAAACCACACTTTTAATCAAAACTGGGAGTCATTGGGGCCCTTGTTAAAATAAAGCTTTCTAGGGCTCTCTAGGTGTGATTAAGTTCGTTCCTTGGGAACCACTGTTTTATATTATCAATTGTTAGTAAAATCTCCAGCATCATTTTGTGTGGAGTATAACAGTACACTTACTCTCAGTGTGCATACATCATGTGGAGTGACATTTTTCATTTGTTACTTGAAGTAGGCCTTTCTGTATTTGTAATGTTGGACTAGTTTTTAAATCTTGGGCAAGGGGAAAGAAACCAATGGTTGCTTTCTGTAAGGGAAAATCAACCCCACATACATACAGATGAAGACTATTAAGGCAGGTCCAGTTCCAGTGTAATCATTCATTAAAGTAAAAAAATCTGCTTTCAAGATATAAAAAAAAATAGGGGTTGGTTTACACTGAATTACTGGATAAATTTAAAACTTTTGTCTTGATTTTAGGGATATCAATAGTTTGATACTCCATGTGTTCCAAAATTATTATTATGGAACATCATATTGGTTTCCCTAACATTCATTTGAAGGTCTGAAATATTCCAAGTTCTATAAAATTTATTATGTACTATACAAAGTACTACCATGCTCATATCTTTAAAGAGTTCTTCCTTGATCCGGTTTTTCCTTTCTCTGTGGCTTTCATAATTTGGTAATTGTGCTATATTCCTTCTTGACCTTGTCTTTTTTAGACAAGAGAGTCCCAACAAATAAGATACCTCTTTATGGAAAACCCCAACTCATTGGATAATGTTGCTCTTAACTGCTCTGATTCCATCATAGATCCCTTTCCTATCAGTAACTTAATTGAATATTGTTATTTGATTAACTAGACAGATGTTTAATGGAGAAAGTATTACCATGGGAACTCACCATTTCAGTCCGTTACTTCCCTCTTTGTGTCTTCATCTATAAAATGGAAGTGATTTTACCTCTTGCCTATCTGTACAGTTTTAAGAAAAAAAATGATACAATAAATATAAAATTGCTTTAAAAATTCTTTTGAATAGTTCTCTGTAAATATAAAAATCTGGGCTTGAAGTTCACACATCACTTGTTCCCTACTAAGCTGCTTATTTGGACAAGCATGTCCATGAGAAAGGCATGGAAATTGGTTCACATCCAGTTCTGTCACTGGCCAGTTAATTTATTTCTTTTAACTTCAGCTTTATTGTCAAAGTGGAAGAGTTAATGATGGTCATCAGTACAGTACTTTGAGACTCTGAAGCTATTTTCAGAGATTTAAGGTATGAAAAATTCAAAAATATGTGGAATCAGAAATGACCAGTCCTAAGGAATAATAAATTTCCCTTGTTAGCTGGCAGTATGATCTTACAGGGTTCACTTTCCTTGTTTGTATGATAGGCATGACATTATAGCACCTACCTGCAAGATAAAAGAATCCATAAAAACTCAGCCTAATAATAGCCCATGTTAATTATTATTACCATTACTGTAATATTAACGTTTTTCACCACGATTGTTATTGGCCTTAGGATTGGTCTCTCCCAGCTACTCGTTTTGCTGTCCTCCATGCTCTTCACATTGCTCTTTCAAGAATACAAATTTCAGGATACCGTCCTGCTGGAAATCCTCAGTGGCGCCTCATTTTGCTAAAATAAAAAATGATTTGGAATACTGTGCTTAGTCCTTGATAATCTGACTCTTACCTCTGTTACCACTTCAGCCCACCTCTCACTCTTTGGGTCTAAGATGTTTGCAGTTCCTTAAGCAGAAGAGGCCTTTTTTCTTTCTTGCCTGTCCTTTTCCCCAGGCTTTTCTCAGCCCGAAATGAACTTTTCTGGTGCTCTTCGCCAGCATCAGAATTCTGAAGGATTGTTTTGTTGTCTTCTGGCTTCCAGTATTGTTGAGAAGTCCCAAACCCTGCTTGTTCTTAATCCTTTGTATGTGACCTTTTCTCTCTGTTAAGAATTTTTGCCAGTGTCCTGAAATTTTATGGTATGTGCATTTGTATGGTTTTCTTCCGCTGTTTTGCTCACTTGGGTACTTTCAATCTGGAAGCCCAAGCTCTTCAATTTGGGGACATTTTCTTGAATTATGTATCTCCTTGTTTCTTGAATGCAATGTCTTCTCTCAATGAAAACCATACTGGTAATTTTCATTGCCTCTGTAGTCTTTTTCCTTCAGGTTGCTTTTTATCCTGCTTGTTCATTCAGTATAAATATATATGTACAGAATGATAACCAGAAAAAAAATTGAGTGAAAGAGCTGAAATTATAAAACAAAGAATTCCCCATAAAAAAATTACTGTTTTATTTATCTGAATTGTAGTATATCTTCTTCACTTTCGTATCTAGCGCCTAGTACAGTGTCTGACTCATAACCAGCCCTCAGAAAATGTTAAGTGCATGAAAAGAAAGAGGGAATCTTGACTTCATTTACTCTTCTGTATAAAGGGGAGGAAGTAAGTCTAGGTTGCAGTGTAGACATCCTGAACGTTTAATTATGTTTCTGTAATTCAGTAGGAGTAGATACCAATTTACCTTGCAGGTAGCACAACAATCCGAAGGAGCAATATTTTAACTCGATCCGAAAAGAATTGAAAAGGAGAGGAAGGGGAACTCACACTCCCACCCTCCCAATGGTCCTCTTTCCTGGTGAAGCTGGCTTCCGTAACGCCAATCAGCGGGCTGGGGTCGGGGACTAGCCAATCACCCGGCAGAGGGCTAGTCCCCGCCCCTGGCGATCAGCCCGTTGCACTTGATGCTCAGGCGTTGCGACACGCCCCTCCCTGCAACCGCGGCGCAGCGGGTCAGGTTTGCTGGGCGCGGGGTTCTGAGAACCAGGTGAGTACCTGCCCTCCAGGAGTAAATCTCGTATCCCCATCGCAGTCCTTCCTCTGCGCCGGGGCGAAAGGCGGACGCGGAGGGGCAAATGCACTGTTGGCTAGAGAGTGAGGGGCGCGTTGTGGCTTGAACATCCTTCCTAGTCGGATGTTGGGGCGGGGTCGCAGCACGGGGGTTCCTGGTGACCAAAGCCTGGGAGTGGGGAACAAGTTCATAGGGTCCTAAAGTGCCCCCTGACCGTTGCCAGTTGGCGGTAAGAGCTCGCGGATCGGATCGCAGCCAGTCCCTCCGCCATCTCGAGCTGCGTTGTACATAGAAACCGTTGCTATGGCTGGAGGTTGTCATTTCCTTTCGGCCTCAGGCAGCAGAGGGCGCTCGGCCCCGTGGATGCTCGAAAGGATGCTTAAGGGGGAAGAAAACAGGTTTTCGTGTTACTAGTTCATCGCAGTTTCCACTGGAGGTATTACGATAAGCTGAGTAGGAAACACAGGAAGTGGATGTGGATCAGGATGATGGAGAAAAAATTAAGGTTTTCCTAATCTGCAACAAAAATTCAAACAGATGTGGAAGAGTTTTAAAGAGAGCAAATAAGCCCGCCGGTGTGGCTCAGTGGCTCAGCGCAGACGAACCAGGAGGTCAGGGCACATGCCCAGGTTGCGGGCTCGGCCCCCAGTAGGGGGAGTGCAGGAGCCAGCCGAACATCATTGAGGTTTCTATCACTCCCTTTTCCTTCTCTGAAATAACTATTAAAAAAATTTTTTTAAAGAGAGCAAATAAAGTCTTGTACAAGTTGTATTTTAGAACTTGAGAATATTTTGTGATCTTGAGAATGTGTATCCTACCAGTGGTAGTTTTCAAAAAGAATTCTCTGAAATGTTAAAACTGTTCAGAATGAAATGTATTTGGTTAGGTAAGAGATGTCTTATCATTTCAGATGTTTTTCACTATATTTTATTCAAATAATAAAATCTCAGGGTTGCAAAATACCTTCCATTTAAGGTAATTTATTTTAATCCTATTGGATGTTTAAACCTCTCCCATCAAAGATCCTCCAGCTCTTTGGTAAATTATCCTAAGACAAACCATTCTATTCTGGGCAACATCAATAATTTAAAAATTCTTTATGTTGCTTTCCTGTAACTTCCACCCTTAAAGTTATGTTGTGATGGGAGCCATTCATCATACTGGACCCTTCCGGTATGGTGCAAAAGCCATAATCTCATTTCTCAGCTGTATCTCATCCAAATGCTGACAAACTGTTATCTATATTCTATACCTAAGTTAAAGCCAGCAGGACTATGGAGGTGAAGCTGACAGGGCATCCTCTTCCTCTGCAGAGGTCCAATATATGACTAGACTCCCAGAGGGCAGGCATGCTGAAGGAAATACTTCAAATGAATTAGGCCCATTGCTGCTGCTTATTTTTAAATTTATCACCCGATATACTTTAGGGCAATGATTTTTAAAAAGTATTGCTTTTAGAGATGAAGGGAGAGGGATAGAGAGAAACATCAATGATGAAAGAGAATAATTGATTGGCTGCCTCCTGCACACCCCCCATTGGGGATGGAGCTTGCAACCTGGGCATGAGCCCCGACCAGAAATCGAACCCTGCCCTCCTGGTTCCAGTGGGTGGGAGTGGGGGCCCAGGCGCGTGGGGCCCAGAGGGCCTTAGGGTGTCCCTCAGCCCCACGCCCCACTTTGTTTTCCAGGTGCCGGGAGTAGAGAGCGCCTTGAAAGGTCACCCTTTCATTAGTTTCTCCCATATATTTACTTTCTTCCGGAAGCTAAAACCCCTTTTCCTTTGTTTAATTACTTCTCCACAATCTATCACCCTTTTTTAAAATGGTATATAGGCTCCCACGCTAAACAGATTCTTTGGGTTTTCACTTTTTTGTGAAGCCCCCCTGTGCATATAAAATAAATGTTTCCTTCTGTTAATGTGTGTTGTATCAATTTAATTCACAGGGCCTCAGTTACTGAACTTAACTAGGTAGAGGAAAGTATTTTTTTACCTTTTTTATAGCACCAAAACCTGCTTAGTCATTGAATTTCAGCATTTACTTAAGTGGAGATAATCCATATATGGTACATAGTAATTTAGCTCCATGAATGTTAGCTGTCATTATCAGGGAGAGGGAGTTTAAAATCAGTAGCCTTCCTCCTTTTCTCTAGAAATAAGACATAATTAATAAAGAAGTACCTAGATGGTTACTGCTATCCAAATTGAGTGATTTTATACACACACACACACACACACACACACACACACACACACACAGTGGGGCCTTGACTTACAAGTGTCCCGACTAACGAGTTTTTCGAGATACGAGCCGTCTCTCGTCCGATTTTTTGCTTTGAGTTGCAAGCTAAAATTCGGGTTATGAGCCAGCTTCAGATACCCCACCGCTAGTTGGCGCAGCGAATGTCACAGTGAACGCCACAACATCAGCCCAGCATCACGTGTCTCACTCGTTCACTTTAAGATTTGACATACGAGTAATTTGAGTTATGAGCTCCATCACGGAACGAATTAAACTCGTAAGTCAAGGCCCCACTGTGTGTGTGTGTGTGTGTGTGTGTGTGTATATATATATATATATATATATATTAGATTCATAACTGTTTTCCTGTACTATATTTCAGCCATGACTGCCAAAGATTGCCCATCATTGTTGGGCTTTGGAACCACAAAAACATTCAAAATTCCCGTTGAACATTTGGATTTCAAGTACATTGAAAAATGTTCAGACGTTAAACATTTGGAGAAAATTCTTTGTGTGCTTAGGTAAGCATTTAAAAATCATTTCTAGTTTCAGTTTGTCAGTTTTAATTATATTGTTCTTGCCTTCTAAAAGCTGAGGCTGCATTAGAAATGCTGGAAGACATCTTCAAGTATCGCTATTGTTTGTTGTATTTTCCCATATTAGGTTCCACAATAGTGGTTTTGATCCTGTTGTTAGTTTGCAATGGTCTGGCTGGTGTACTTCCTGCGTGCACTGTAGGCTAATTTGAAGAGGGCCTTTTTCTTTCTTCCTTCACATTGTCCAGGAAAAGGTAACTGTGAGAGTCGCCAGGAGGATGTAGGGTAGCTCACCAGCCTCCGCTGATAAGGTTATTTGGCCTCTCCCGCTTCGTGCCATCTGGTGACTCTGTGAGCTGGTCACTTGGAGGATGGCGGGGAAGCCAGCCCGGAGGCCGGAACAGGAGGCAGGGAACCGGGCCTTCTCTGGTTAAGAACCCCACGGTGGTGATTCTTTTTTTTTTTTTTTTTTTAATATATTTTATTGATTTTTTACAGAGAGGAAGGGAGAGGGATAGAGAGCCAGAAACATCGATGAGAGAGAAACATCGACCAGCTGCCTCCTGCACATCTCCCACTGGGGATGTGCCCGCAACCAACGTACATGCCCTTGACCAGAATCGAACCCGGGACCTTTCAGTCCGCAGGCCGACGCTCTATCCACTGAGCCAAACCGGTTTCGGCCACGGTGGTGATTCTTAAACTTTCATATACACGTGGTTGTTAAAAATGCAAATTTGAGGGTCCCATTCCCAGAAATTCTACTTTGGGAAATCTGGGGTGGGGCCCAGGAATCTGTGTGTATTTTTTATTTGTTTGTTTTGTTTGGAATCTGTGTTTTTAACAAGTGCCTGGCTAATTGACATGCAGGTGGTCAAGGGAACCCACTTTGAGAATCACTGTCCCGTGCCACGTATTTCAGGTTTCTTGGAGGGTTTTCCCCTGGGGAGTAGCCTGATGTTGCAGAAGCACGTGTGGAGCGTGGCCTCCCTACGGTGGCATCTCTGCGGTGGCTCTCTTTTCTCCCCCGAACCCTTCATCTTACCACTGTGTCCTTCGCTTTTTCTCTCTTGTTACCTTTGGTGTCATGTCCTCCCTAGGCAGCCCTGCTTGTCCCCGGCCAGAGTTGATGTAACAACCTCATCATTTCTGAAATGGAAATAGGAGTCATGTCATTGCTTTCCCTTTTGTTTTTCTCAGCAGTATAAGAACATATTCATGTATATTTGACCAAGGACGATAAACAAAATGAGAAGTTTACGGGATCAAAGTGTCTGAAAGCCATAGTAATAACGTTGGTTCTAAGAAATTCTATGAATAGCTTCATGAAATTGCATTGACTTGGAATGATGGTTTTTTTAAATTTTACTTGAAAATGGGATATATTTCTATTTTTCTAAAAATTTAAAAGTGAACAGACTTACAGGAGAAGGGCAAAAATTGATTTTCTTTTTAATAATAATAATAATAAAAAAGACAAACTAGAACAGATGTCTCCATTTAACCCTCTAAGAGAGGAGTTCTGTTTCCTGGTTGTATTTAGAGTCCTGTTGTTCTAAACTGTTCCTCTGCCATTTTCTTCCCATCCCTTTGGGGAGAGGGGTTGGGGGAGGGGAACAAGCTAGGAGCTCCTCCTTGGAAAGGAAGTCCAGAGTCTCACTTTCTGCCTGCCTCTAATATTGAATCTCCATTTTTAAGTTTAAAATTACCTTATGTACAAAAGGAACATATGTGTGTTAAAGAGGAGAGGAAATGTTATTCATTCGCCTTGTAAATGTGTGTCTTTGTAGCGCCTTCTTTTCTTCCGTTGCACCCCTGCACGGACGAACAGATAATAACGGAGGTTGCACTGGTTGAGGAAGGTGTGTGGGAGCAGCAGCCCCACATGCCCCCGCCTGCGGGGCAGTCCTGAGATCTCCGCAGAGCTCCTGGGCTCCGTGGAACCCAGCCTGCAAACCGCTGGCCTAGCTGATCTCTGAACAAGGCGGTACCTCTAAAATTCTGTACTATTTTTTAAGGTCTGGAGAGGAAGGATATTATCCTGAACTTATAGAGTTTTGTGAAAAGCGCCTTCAAGGATTGGCTCCTCAAAGTAGAGCTTTGAGGAAAGACAAACCTGCAGCGACAGAATCCAGTTTCACAGCGAGAGAATGGGAAAAAATCGATGGCGATATAAAGGTATAGATCAACACTGGTTTTTGTGACATTGTCATGTTGTATATATGTCTACTTCACTTATTCAAAATTCTAGGGTTCTTTTTTGTCAGCCAAAGGCTTTAAAAAAAAATTTTTTTTATTGATTTCGTAGAGGAAGGGAGGAGGGGGGAGAGAGAGAAATAGAAACATTGATGATGAGAGATAATCATTGCTCGGTTGACTCCTGCATGCCCCCCACTGGGAATCAAGCCCCCCAACCTGGGCATGTGCCTTGACTGGGAATCAAACCCTGACCTCCTGGGCCATAGGTCAACCCTCAACCACTGAGCCAGGCTGGCTGGGTTCAGAATGCTATATTTTTAAAAACTTTCATCAGCTTTCTCACTTTACCATTTTATTGACTTGAATTTGAAAATCTGGTTATTAATATAGCTACAACAGTGGTTTATGTTTAGAGTTCTTTAACTTTATTTTGGGGGGATAAAACCTCGTTTTTTAAAAATAGTTCATTGATTTTTAGAGAAAGAGGAAGGCATAGGGAGAGAGAGAGAGAGAGGGAGAAACATTGATGTGAGAGCATAACATCGATCGGCTACCTCTTGTATGCCTCAAACCAGCAACCTTTTGGTTCATAGAGTGACACCCAACCAACGGAGCCACATCGCCAGGGCAAAACCTTTTGGTTTTAGTTGAAGAGCCTGCTTTTACCCCAACAGTGTATTCTTTCAGGTCACTTTTTTAGTTAGTCTCCTTCCCATCCCCATTTCTTTCATGTCTTCCTTGCCACTTCTCCTGCATTCCCCATTCTCTCTCACTCCTTTCTCTCTTCTGCAATTCCTCCTCTCTCCTTCCCTTTCTTCCCTTACTGTGTTTTTATTCTCCTGCTTCTCCTGTTTGCCCCCTCCATCCTCCCTGCCTTCTATACAAATAGGACAGGTAACAGAGTTTATTTCTATATCCCAGTGCCTATTTTAAGAATGTCTAGCAAATATTACACCCTCACTATATATTTGATGAAAAATAAATAATAGAATTTCACAGATAATAAAGAAATATCCTACTCAGTTTTTTCCTGGCACCAGTGACAATTTATTTTATTTTTTTTCTTTTAGTATATTTTATTGATTTCAGAGAGGAAGGAGGAGAGAGATAGAAACATCAATGATAAGAGAGAATCATTGATTGGCTGCCTCCTGCACACCCCACTGGGGATCCAGCCTGCAACCTGGGCTTGTGCCCTGACCGGAATCAATCCGTGACCTCCAGGTTTCTGGGTCAATGCTCGACCAGCGAGCCATGCCAGCCAGGAGACAATTCAGTTTAATGAACATTATTGTGAACCTGTTATATGCCAGACACTGTGCTATGTTCTGGAATCACAAAAATGAGATTAAGACATAGGCTCTGCCCTCAAGGAATTTACAGTGTGGTGAAAGGGATGAACACTAAATAGATTATTTTAAACCATTATGCTAATACATGGAGGGGGAACATTTTTGAACCAAACCAGAAGCTCAGAGAAAGCTTACTGGGAGAGATGGTCAATAAGATCTTGCAAGATAATGAAAAGTAGGAAGGCCCAACAACAATATGAATTTACTTAATAATACTGAGCTGTACACTTAAAAATGATTAGTAGGGTAAATTTTATGATATGTGTATTTTCCCCAAATAAAAAAAGAGTAGGAAGGGCATTCCAGGTAGAGAGAATGGCACGATCAAACTGTCACCTAAAAAACTGGCTGATCCATGGGAAATTTTGATTACATATAGTCTTTTCTAATGCTTGGTTAATTACTTAAAATTGTATATTTGCCTTCATTTTTCTCCTTTTTTTCCCCCTCAGAATTGGGTAACAGAAATTAAAAAAGAAGAAAGTAAAATATATTTTCATGAAACTGAAACATTTCCAGCAAAGGAAGAAAATTTGCCTCCAGTTCGTGGTTCAAACAGCCGTCTTCATGTTGCCAAAGTAGGCCTTTTGGTGCGGGGCGTGGTGGATAGGGGAAGAAGGTTGTGTATGAGGAGAGCTATCTCAGTTTTGTCAGTGCAGCCAAATGGTGATGTGTTCTAGGAGAGCAGGGATTTCTTTCAGCTGGTCATGTGCTATTACCTTCATGAGTAGACCATTGTTCATTAATTGATGAATCAAAATAAAACCACCTTTTCTTTTGAAGACTTGCATCTTAGATTAATTGCCTTTCTTCATTTTTCTTTTGCTGTTTAGTCTCTTCTACTCTGACCAGTTTTTTGTGTTGTTGTTGTTGTTTTTTTAACTTTATTTCAGGAGGAAGGTTGGGGGAGAGAGAGATAGAAACATCAATGACGAGAGAGGATCATTGATTGGCTGCCTCCCGCATACCCCACACTGGGGATCGAGCCCACAACTGGGCAAGTGCCCTGACCAGAAATTGAACTGTGACCTTCTGGTTCATAGGTCGACGCTCAACCACTGAGCTACTCCAGCTGGGCAAGGACATATTTATTTATTTATTTATTTATTTATTTATTTATTTATTCATTCATTTATTTATTCATTTATTTATTATTTTTTGTTAATCCTCACCCAACGATATTTTTCCATAGATTTTTAGAGAGTGGAAGGAAGGGAGAGAGAAACGACACGTTTTTAATATTCTGTGTGATAAAATGGAAAGTATGCAGAAAGCATTTCACTGTGAAGTGAAAGATGATTGTTTTCTCAAGAAAAGCACTTGTGTGATTGAATTGGCAGCTTCAGTTGCCACTTTTTTCTGGAATAAATTTTTCTCCAAAAATTTATGATTATTCAGACTTGGTTTTTTTGGCAGACATTGCGTTGAAAATGAACAAAGTGGGCCTGTCACTTTAACCAACAGTGCTTTTTGCCAGTGATAATACCTGAGCTTTCAAGTATAATCTAGAGTATTTCATATTATTACGTGGCTCTTGAATACCTGCTTGTGACAAAACAATTTCCCATACTCAGACTTTTCTGATGAGCTCCATGAAGATATTAACAGATACGGTTTTTTATTGTATGATGAAATGTATGAATATTTGGAAGATCTGCTTAACTCCACGTGACCAATGCACCATGTTACAAAACCGCTCAGAATGGTTTCAGATTATGACTAACTTCTAAGAAATAATTTCAGAAACTATTTGTGAGCATGATGGCTATTGTTTGCTTCTCTCCCACTCCCTCTGGTGCTTCCAGTGGGCATGTGACCGAGGTCGGGCCACTTACTAGCACCAAGCTAGTGCTTGGTCAGGGATGGGCGCAGGGCCCAAGCTAGGCAATGGGAACCCTTCCCTGGGATGTCTCTAAAGATGGAGAGCAGAGTCCTTTTCCTTTCTGATTGGGAGGCCTGCGAGGTTATAACCCAGGCTGCTTGTGGCCATGTTTTCTACTACATGGAGAAAGCAAGTAGCCAGCAGGGAAAACAAAATCAGTAGGCAGAGAGAAGCAGGGATGAGGAAGGGGTGGGGAGAGGAATTGGAGAGAGACCATATGACGCTTTCATCCAGCAATATCCCTGCCCTGCCTTTCATCAGTTTGGTTACATAAGCCAATAATGTATTCTTTTTAAATACAATTAGTCCAAGTTGGGTGTCTGTTATTGCAAACAAACCAGCTTTGAGTAATACAGCAAAATATTCTCCAGTGCCTAGGTTTTAAAAGAATGAGTGATAGTTTATTACTTTTTTATTATAAGAAAATCACTGCCGAAACCGGTTTGGCTCAGTGGATAGAGCGTCAGCCTGCGGACTGGAGGGTCCCAGGTTCGATTCTGGTCAAGGGCATGTGCCTGGGTTGCGGGCACATCCCCAGTGGGAGATGTGTGGGAGGCAGCTGATCGATGTTTCTCTCTCATCGATGTTCTAACTCTCTATCTCTCTCCCTTCCTCTCTGTAAAAAATCAATAAAAAATATATTTTTAAAAAAAAGAAAATCACTAATAATCATTTCACATGTGATTTTTAAAAATTTTATGTATGTGCTTAAAGTCCTATAGATTGCTCTGAGATTAACTACAAATTTTTTAAAAATATTTTTTTTTTGATTTCAGAGAGGAATGGAGAGGGAGAGAGAGATAGAAACATCAATGATTAGAGAGAATCATTGATCGGCTGCTTCCTGCACACCCCTTACTGGGGATGAAGCCTGCAACCAGGCAGGTGTCCTAACCTGGAATCCAACAGTGACCTCCTGTCCATAGGTTAACATCAACCACTGAGCAACACCTGCTGGGCGAATTAACTACAAATTTAAAATCCTTTGAAGCTTGATATATATTCTTTTCTTAATAATTTTAATACTGGATTTCTTATAGCTTAAAGGGTATTTTTCTTATTCATTCAGTTTTCTTATTAATCCAGTTCTTCACATTGCATTTATAATAAAACCTGCTAATCTTATATTAAGTATGTCTCATAAAGTATGTTTTTATTCTTTTAGGGAAAATATTCTAAAAGTAGATCAGCTAAAAAGAATATTCCAAGGGATTATGCAGAGTGGGATAAGTATGTTTTACATTTTTTATGTAAAATTTGTCACTGAAAACTTCTCTACCACAAAGTACTGTAATAAGTTCTTAATTATTGTAAACCTGAACATCAAGAATAGCAAGGTACTTCAGTAGAGTACTCAGAGTATATAGTCTAAGCACTCTTGATCTTGTTTTTCATTAAATAAAAATCTCCTGCATCCTTTTGTTTATGAGAGCAACCACAAATAAATAATATAATCCTTATACCTATTCAAAATAAAAAAGAACAAAAGTTTTAAATTGAGAGATTAAAAATGGCGGCAGAGTAAGTGGATGCTGCGGGGACATGCTCCCAGGAACAAGCTGGACTTACAACTAAAATACAGAAAAACTTACTGAATAATCAACGGAAAACTCGCAGGAGAGAACTCTGATATCCGAGGAACGAAAGTGGAGACCGCATAGAGACTGATTTATTTTGTATATTGTAAAAAAATAAAATAAAGAGTTAAAAAAATTTAAATTGAGAGAAATGTGTTACAATTTTAATTACAAAAATCTAAATAGTTTAGATCTGATTAATGTTTAAGTTCTCACTAAATTACATGGTTAATAAGAAAGAATACAGAAAACTTGTAATATAAGCTATTATGCATTTTTGGAATGTGTGTTTAAAGGCATGGTGATACAAATACAAGAATATCATTAATATATTTTAATGTATTGTACTTTTTTGTTTTTATTCTTTCTTTTAAGATTTGATGTGGAAAAGGAATGTTCAAAAATTGATGAAGATAGCAAAGAAAAAACTCTAATAAACAACAAGTCACATTTGTCTAAAATTGAGACAAGACTAGACACAGCAGGTAATTGGGGAAATACAAGAACAATTTAGTAGTCTTTAAGTTTTTAAAGTTATAATAAAAACTGTCAATCTAGAGGACATTCTCTCTTCTTTTAAGTGGTTGCCTCCCACACTGGGATCAAGCTTGCAACCAAAGTACATGCCCTTGACTGGAATCGAACCTGTGACCCTTCAGTCCATGGGCCAGTGCTTTATCCACTGAGCCAAACCAGTTGGGCAAAGGCTTTCTCTTTAAATGCTACAGATTTTCATGACAAGTTTATGCATTTTCTCCTAAAGTGACCACTTCTAACAAATTCAGATCTATCCTTTATTTAATTCTATATGATTAACAGTTATACTTCTTAAATTTTAGTAAGACTTAAAAATACAAACCATTTTTTACTGTAATTTGTTTTTCATTTCTTTTTTTTAAATCCTCTTTTTCCTTCAAATCCCTCAAATTTATTTTCTTTTTGCTTCAAAACAAAATGATGGAACAGTTTGTTTTCATTTGAAGTCCATAGGCGTATAGTACCTTTAAAGAGAAACAAAATCAGTCATAAAATATGTAAACCCTCAACAATTGTGAATGATTAGAAAAAAGAAAAATTACTAAATTTAGGAAATCATTTCTTTTAATTATTTACAATTTTCAGCTTCTCTTAAAATAAGCATTCTTGGATTTAACATTTTGTAAATATTCTATTAAATTATACTTTTACTTAAAGCAGGTACCATTTGTTTCTAGGTCTGACTGAGAAGGAAAAGGATTTTCTTGCTACTCGTGAAAAGGAGAAAGGAAATGAAGCTTTCAAGTCGGGAGATTATGAAGAGGCTGTGAAGTATTATACCAGGTGAGCAGATTTTTGTGTGGTTTAAACTTGCTATTTAAAAAAAAATGGTAGCATTTAAATTTGATTATTGAAAGGATATAAATAAGCTAAATGGCCTATGTCAGACTCACTCAAGATATTGTATTTATCATAAATTCACTTCTGTTTCAGTATTATTTTGTATTGGTTTCAGGTATAAAGCATAGTGGTTAGACAATCATGTACATTACAAAGTGTTCCCCCAATATTTCCAGTACCCACCTGACACCCTACATAGTTATTGCGATGTCATTGCCTATATTCCCTGTGCTGTGCCTTAAGTCCCCGTGACTCTTTTATAACAGCCCTAACTTTTTCCCCCAGCCCCCCAACACCTTCCTCTCTGGCAACCACCAGTCCATTCTCTGTGTCTACGACTCTGCTTTAACTTAAGCTGCATTTCTCTGTCTTCTTGTATTGACCACTGGTCTGCTTGTTGCCAATGAGCGTTTGTTTTATAGGAGCATATCCGTGCTTCCCACCGCAGCAGCCTATAACAATCGAGCTCAAGCAGAACTCAAACTACAGAACTGGAACAGTGCTTTTCAGGATTGTGAAAAGGTCTTGGAGTTAGAGCCTGGAAACGTAAAAGGTAAAACATATGCAAAGGGTGCTTTTAAATTTACAGCAGGATCCTTAAAGACTCTTTGTAGACACTCATTATGTTCACACTAAACGTATGTCAAATAAACTCAGATTTCTATATGGAATCATGACCTTCATAAAGTTACTTTTAATTTCAAGTTTAACTTGGAATTTAAGTCCCTGGTTTTGCATTGAAGTAGCCGATAATTTCAGACGATTCAATAAAATATATGTGTTTTTTAAAGAACTATCTCAAGCTTGCATTTAACTATGGGGTTTTTTCTTTCCATTGTTTTTTTTTATTTTGTAAAATACATATAAAATTGACCATTTTAATCATTTTTAAGTGTACACTTCAATGGTATTGTTGTGCAGTCATCATTACCATCCATCTCTCTCTCTCTCTCTCTCTCTCTCTCTCTTTTTAAATTTTTATTTCAGAGAGAAAGGGAAAGGGAGAGAGAGGTAGAAACATCAATAATGAGAGAGAACCTTTGATCGGCTGCCTCCTGCACACCCCCTACTGGGGATTCAGCCCGCAAACCCGGGATGTGCCCTGACCAGTATTCAAACCAGCAACCTCTTGGTGCATGGGACAATGCTCAATCCACTGAGCCACCAGCCGGGGCAAAATGATTTATATTTCCATAGTTCGTCCTTCCTTCCCCCCTCCCTCCCTCCCTTCCTTCTTTCCTTTATTCAATCCTTCCTTCCTTCCTAAATTTGAATAAATGATTTTCAAAGTTTTCAGAGAGTGGTGAAATAATGCTCGTGGTGATTCTAAGGAGGCAAACATTGTTTAACGAGAGGCCTCCACTATGTCGCACAGCACGGAATCTCTCAGCCCCTGGAGGAGCTGGCAGGGCCTGGGGCTGCCAGAGGGCCAGGTGGTTGGAGGGGACAGGTGCCTGGTGCAGCCTCTTGTTTAACTCAGTACCATTTTCTGTATGTGCGACAACATGAGAATGGGTGTCGTTAAGCTTTGCACAATTGCATCCTAAACCGTTCTGTGCTACTTGTGTTCTTCCACTCAAAAAATTGTTAACCATAACACCATATGTTAAAACAGGCAACTTATTTTAGTAAAATTTCAGCTCTTCTGCGCCGTGCCACTACATTTAAACATCAGAACAAGCTCCAGGACGCGATGGAGGATTTGCATCAAGTGCTGGATGCTGAACCTGATAACGAGTTGGCCAAAGTAAGTACAGAAAGTGATTCCTCACAGAATTCCGTAGTTTGCTGCTTCTGTGTTTATGTGACATCAATCTTGCTGGACACATGATGCTGAGGATTAGGTTACAGCTTTAAAAAGTAGGTACATCCCAGACACCCCCAAGGGGTTAACATCAATTTGAAGTGGAAGAAAGCAAGCTCTTCAATTGTTCAGAACTGTCAACCTACTTCTGAAGGACAAATACTCAATTTTCTTTTTCTTTCCTGCAGTGCTGTAGGCAGTGGTTTTCTTTGAGCTAATTCCAATTTATTATGCAGGGCAGTGCCTACATTTCCTGGGCTTAGGCAAGAGCTCGATGGCCATAAAAGAGTGCTTCTTTCTGTAACTTGCATGGAAAGCATGCGTCACTGACACAGAGTGACTCAGATATGCACTGGGCAGGTGTGTGTGGGTGGGGCGGGGGGGTGTCTGTGGTAAGGCCTTGAAGAGTAGAGTAAGTGTTGAGAACTGTGAAGGCTCTGAGATTTTACCCTGCTTGCAAATTAGCAAGGTGGCCGAGAGGAATATACAAGATTCCTGGGTCGGACACAAAGGACTTGGTTGCAGCATAGCAAGCTGATGAGCTGCAAGTCCATGTCACTTCCCCTGGCTCCCAAGTCTCATGGGGGCAGCACAGAAAGGCCCAGGGAGATGCTGCACACTCAGTGCATTCGTGTCCCAGCGGAGGCATCCCCCACGTTTCATGGAACATAAGCACATCTGCCCAACTAGCGTGAGAGGGAGACATTATCTTTTTTCCCAGAGAGCAAGCAAACCTGCTCTTTCCTCTGGAGAGAAATATTCTCTTTCCCAAGGCAGTTCACGGAGAGATACTCTATTTTCCAAGGCATACATCCTTAAAAAGATAGTCTGACGTCGTTTAGTTTCTCTGCTCACAATGTGTTCAGAAATGAGAAGCTCATGGAGCACTGTATTCCAACAAGCAGTTCCAGTTTTCCTCATACGCCTGCTGGGTATCTATCTCTGAATGGCAGCTAAAGTCCCTAGAGCATCAGCTGCATTTGTCAAGCCAGCATTTCAGTGAATTCATTGTAAGGCCCAGTTTAGGAACACATCTTTTCCCCATAATATTTCCTTTTCTTAACGGTATGTTTAATATATATGCACGTGAACATATCTAGGAAGATGATCATCAGAATACCAAGTGTTACCTAAGTGGCAGATCATTTTTTCTGCCTTTTTTATACTTGTTAATGCTTTAGGTTTCTTACAACAACCATTTGTGTCTATAATCAGACAAAGCAACAAAGTTGTTTGAAAAAGAAAAACAGCAGACCACCATGAAAAGCCTTATGTTAATTATCATTGTTCCCTTTTTAATAACTTCATATTCTTGCCTGAAAGAATAGTTTTATTTTTTATTAAAGGAAAACATCTTTTTTTTTTTTTAATATGGCGATTATGTTGCAGAAAACCCTGTCAGAGGTTGAAAGAGAGCTGAAAAATTCTGCGCCCACATCTAAGACTCACACCAAGGGAAAAAGGATGGTTATTCAGGAAGTAGAAAACTCAGAAGATGAAAATGGAAAAGAAAGCGAAAGAAAACATGAAGATGGCAGTAGAGATAAGAGTAAAACATTTTTTCTCTTTTGGTTATGTAAAATACTGCTTTTTTATATGACGAGTTAGTCTATCAAACTTTTTATAGCTTTACCTTGTAAATCCACAAGCAGGTTTTTCCTTAATCTTTTTCTTAATATAGCTCATTTTTCTTTTTCCTTTATTTATTTTTTTATATATTTTTTTAAAAAATTGATTTCAGAGAGGAACAGTGAGGGAGAGAGAGATAGAAATCGCAATGATGAGAGAGAATCATTGATTGGCTGCCTTCAGCATGCCCCCTATTGGGGATTGAGCTCGCAACCCGGGCATATGCCCTTGGCCAGAATTGAGCCTGGGACACTTCAGTCCATAGGCCGACGCTCTATCCACTGAGCCAAACTGACTAGGGCTCATCTTTTTTTAAATATAATCTCCCAAACTCATTTTTCTTCTTAACCTGACATTGTTTTCTAATGCTCAATTTCATTCCTGATTATCTTTTTTTAAAATTGATTTCAGAGAGGAAGGGAGAGGGAGAGAGAGATAGAAACATCAGTGATGAGAAAGAATCATTGATCGGCTGCCCTCTTCTGGGGATTAAGCCTACAACCCGGCCATGTGCCCTGACTGGGAATTGAGCCGTGATCTCCTGGTTCGTAGGTCGATGTTCAACCACTGAGCCACACTGGCCAGGCTATCATCTTTTTTAAAAATATATATTTTTTCATTAATTTGTAAAAGAGAGGGTAAGGAAGAAGGAGAGATAGAAACATCAATAATGAGAGAGAATCATCATTTGGCTGCCTCCTGCACGTCCCCTACTGGGGATCAAACCTAAAACCTGGGTATTTGCCCTGACCAGGAATCATTTCTGATTTTGTCATTCATGGCCCCAAATTATTTTGTAGAGTATGGAATATATAAAAATATGTAAGATTCAGAAAACAAAAGTTTCTTGATAAGAAGAATATAAATTTTAAGACCAGTTAGTTCCCTTTTATCAGGAAAGCAAATCAAGATTAAGTGGAATAGTCCTAGCCGGTTTGGCTCAGTGGCTAGACCGTCAGCCTGCGGAGTGAAGGGTCCCCGGGTTGGATTCTGGACAGGGCATATGCCCAGGTTTTGGGCTCGATCTCCAGTAGGGGGCGTGCAGGAGGCAGCTGATTAATGACTCTCTCATCATTGATGTCTCTCTCCCCCTCCCTTCTTCTCTGAAATCAATAAAAGTATATTAAAAAAAAAGATTAGGTGGAATAAAAAGTTGGAAGCCATTTTAAAGTCATCCTTTTAAAATGAAATAAAATGATTGGAACTATTTTATGCTTACTTCTACCAAGTTTTATTGTTAGATGGCTTGTAAAAAGAGATCTTGGAGCCTTGGACAAGACAGGAGAAATTCAAGTCACTATTAGGAAAATAATGTTAAAGTCCGGAGGAGATTATCGAGCTGGAATCTTTGCGGGTGGTTTCCCATTCCACCACATTCCAAGAAAGAATTGTTAGTCATTATGTGGCAGGCGCCGGGAACAGCAGCGGGTGTCTGACCAGGGGGGTCAGACCAACCTGAGTTCAGCAGCCTCGGTACTTGGGTTCTGGCTAGAAAAGAATTCAGAGCCAAGAGAACATTTATTTGAGAACATTTATTTGTTAAATCACAGAGGTAGAGAAAGTAATTCCTAGAAGAGATGGGCTTAGGAAGGCAAGTTATGGAGGCAAAGGAAGGGCCCTTGGAGCCTGGGGCAGGGAGGAGGAAGGAAAAGGGAAGGCACCTGTATGCTCTCTGGAGGGAGAGCGCACTGGGTCCTCCATCCTAAGGGTTTTAGGGTGGAGCCTTTAGGGCAGGTCCCAGGGGAAGGTTTGAATAGATAGTCAGCAGCTTTCCAGGTGTGTCCTTCAGGGTTGTGGTCTCCACTGGTTGATTGTGGCACCAGGGCAGGGGGTCTTTATTCAAAGCAGCTGGTTTTGTTGCTTATCTGGGTCTGGAGCTGAAATACAACTGAGGCCTAGATGTTATCTCTAGGGGGGAAAGGTCAGGGGTTCCAAACCCAGTGACCATTGATATGCTTGGGGAGGAAAAGTCACCATGGGGGCGAGGTCCCACCCTACCATTGATTGTCTGTTGCCAGGCACCTGGGGCTTTCCACTCTGGTGACCTTCTGACCTGGCCCAGGGTCCTTGCCCTACTCATGTCCAACTGCCCACCATAGATAATACCGCATTTTCTTTATCCATTCATCAGGTGGTGGACACTTGGGTTGCTTCCACTTTTGGGCTATTAATAATGCTGCTGTGAATATTCAGGTTTATGTGTGTGGACATGTTTTTGATTTTCTTGGGTATCGGAGTGAAATGCTTGAGTTATATTGTAACTCTGTGTTTAACTTCTTGAGGAACTGCCAGACTGTTTTCCAAAGTGGCTATAGCATTTTATATTCCCAGTGGCCATGACTGAGGATTCCAATTTCTCTACATTCTTGCAAACACTTGCTAATGCGAAGTGGTAATTCCTCATGGTTTCAATTTGCATTTCTCTAATAACTTATTGTGTTAACCACTTTTTCATGTGTTCATAAGCCATTTGTATATCTTTTTGGATAAATGTTATTCAAGTCCTTTTGCCATTTTACATTAAATTACTTGCCTTTTTATTGTTGCAGTAGAGGCCCAGTGCATGAAATCTGTGCATGGGTGGGATCCCTAGGCCTGGCTAGCAATCAGGGCCTATTGGGGCCAAGCCGGCCAGGGCCTGCCAGCTGCCGCCGGGGTCTAGGGACGGGGCCAGAGGGATGGGGGAGGGACGGGGAGAGGTTGACTGGCTGTGGGAGGTTGACTGTGGGAGCGCACTGACCACCAGGGGGCAGCTCCTGTGTTGACTGTCTGCCCCCTTGTGGTCAGTGCGCATCATAGTGACTGGTGGACCGGTCATTCTGATCATTCGATCGTAATGGTTGCTTAGGCTTGTATATATATATATATATAGATTATAAATCTTTAGATAGTAGACCCTTATCAGATAATAATTTGCATATTATTTCTTCCATCCAGTGGGTGGTCTTTCTACTTTCTCGATTACATCTTTTGCTGCACAAAAGTTTTACATTTTGATGAAGTCCAATTTCTTTTTCTTTTGTGCTTGAGCCTTTCGTATCATATATAAAATCATTGTTAAATCCAAGGTCATGTAGATTTATCCCTATGTTTTTTTTCTAAGAGTTTTATGATTTAGCTCATATTTTGGACATTGATTTATTTTGATTAATTGTGGTAGGGAGGAGTCCAACTTAACCTTAGCTTTTTTTTTAACATGTGGAAATTCAGTTTTCCCAACATCACTTTTTAGAGACTATTCTTGACACTTTTGTCAAAAGTCAATTGGCCATAGATGTATGGGCTTATTACTGGACCCTCAGTTCTATTCCATTGGTCTATATGTCTATCTTTATGCTAGTACCACTCTGGATTGTTTTTGTTGTTAATCCTCACCCAACGATATTTTTTCCAGTGATTTTTTTTATAGAGAGTGGCAGGGAGGGATGGAGCGGGAGGAGAGAGAGAAAAAATAACACATCGATGTGAAAGAGACCCATTGATTGCCTCCCTCACTCACCAAGGATGGAATCTGCAACCCTTCTGTGCCCGGGCTGATGCTCTAACCACTGAGAAATACTGACCAGGGCAGTAGCAATGTTTTGATTACTGTAGCTTTTAGTAAGTTTTGAAATCAGAAGTATGAGTCCTGCCTGGCTGGTGTGCCTCAGCGGTTGACCCAGGAACCAAGAGGTCACTGGTTCTATTCCTGGTCAGGGCACATGCCTGGGTTGCAGGCTTGATTCCCAGTAGGAGGCAGCCAATCGATGATGTTCCTCTCTCTCTCATCGATGTTTCTCTCTATCCCTCTCCCTTCCTCTCTCTAAAAATCAATAAAAACATATTTTTTAGACAAAGAAGTATGAGTCCTTTGATTTTGTTCTTTTTCAAGATTATTTTGGCTACTTTGGAATTCCATATTAAATTGAAGATCAGTTTTTCTATTTCTGCAAAAAAGTCTATGGAATTTTGATAGGGATTATGTTGAATCTGTAGTTCACTTTGGCTAGTATTGATATCTTAACAACATGAAATCTCCCTATCTATGATCAAGAAATATCTTTCCAGCCCTAGCTGGTTTGGCTCAGTGGATAGAATGTCAGCCTGTGGACTGAAGGGTCCCGGGTTTGATTCTGGTCAAGGGCACATGGCTGGGTTGCGAGCTCAATCCCCAGTAGGTGCGTGCAGGAGGCAGCCAATCAATGATTCTCTCTCATCATTGGTGTTCCTATCTCTTTCTCCCTCTCCCTTCCTCTCTGAGATCAATAAAAATATATTTTTAAAGAAAGAAAATAAATATCTTTTCCCCCTAGCCAGTTTGGCTCAGTGAATTGAGCATTGGCCCGTGGATTGAAGGGTCTTGGGTTCAATTGTGGTTAAGGGCATGTACCTCGATTACAGGCTCAGTCCCCGGCCTGTTCCAATCGATGTGTCTCTCTTACATTGCTGTTTCTCTCTGTCTCTCCCCCTCCCTTTCACTCTCTCTAAAAAAAGTCAATGGAAAATATCCTTGAGTGAGGATTAAGAGCAACAACAAAAGATGTTTTTTAAAAAAGAAATATCTTTCCACTTAATTAATTTCTACTGTTGAACTGCTCTTCTATTCCTGAGATAAATCCCACTGATGGTGGCATATAATCCTTTTAATATGCTATTGGATTTGGTTTGCTTGGATTTTGTTGAGGATTTTTGCATCTACCAACTCCCCAAACTACCCTCTAAGGCTACTGAAATCCTGGTGGTCTTTAGTTCTATTGGTTCTCGTCAGTCCTTGTGCAAATGACACTGTTGGCCATTACTTCCTTGGATATTTATTGCTGACTCCTTTCTCCCTGAAGTACTCATTCTTCTTGGTATGCCCTCCTGGCTTTTTTCTCTCATTTCTAGGCACTCCTCCATCTCCACTGTAGATTTTCCCTGTGACCATCTTTTAAGAATTGATCTGAATGACCCAGCCCACATTCAGACTTCAGTGATTCTTTATATGCCAGCAACTCCCAAGTCAGTGTCTCTAGAGAAGGCCACTCCTCTGGTCCACATTCAGAGTCTCCTCCTGAGCACGTCTTCTGGAATGTCCTACAGGCAGTGCGGCACCTGACAGGACTCACAGGACTTTCGTGTTCTGGCCTCTGTTTACCTTTACAGAGGCTGGCCAGGTTGTTCAGGGACATTCCATCTTAAGGAAAGAGGTACGGCAGGGCATTCGGTTCAATTCATTTGAATCCCAGTTACGCTGGGACTTTTCGCTCTCTGTGCTTGAGCAAATGCCTTAGCGACTTCTTGTGTCTCTTATTTGTAAAGCGGGGATGATATGACTTGGTCTGAAAATTAATGACAATGTATGTGAAGGCCTTGGCCCATATAAAGTTCTAAATAAACTGCAGCTATTTAGTAATAGTATCGGTCAGACATGGGAGGATAGCATACCAGGGAATGGACAATCGTACTAAGCTGTCCATTGTTACTGCTGACACTGACCTGTGCTCCCATCCGTTTCTGTTCTGTCTGGGTGGGGACTTCAGCAGCAGGTATCAGCTACAGATGGGAGCCTTGCTTTCATAATCCTACTGTTACGGGGGAGAGGGAGAGACCTCGGTTCTTGCCTTCTGAGGGAAAGATTTAAATCAAGAGACAAAGTGCAGAAAAGCAAGCAAGAGTGTATTGACCTCAGCAAAAATATACTTAGGAGTGTGAAACGAAGAAGGGCATAGAAGCAGCAACAGGAGAGCCTACACTGGGCCGCCTTAGCTCGCTGGGAAGTCAGAGGACGAGGAGCCTTGGAGACAGGTTCAGGGGGTGAGCCCCAGACGGGCTGCTGCTGCCCATTGCCCCCCTGGTTGCTAGTCTCATGGAGTCCCTTAGAGGTTAGGGGATACGTGCATACATTCGGGAGGTGGTGGGGGGAGTGGAAGGGGAAGGGAATGGCAGGGGCATGCTCCCTGGGAGAGTGCACTGGCATCTTCATTGTCAGGGGTTTTATTTTATTTTATTTTTAAATATTTTTATTGCTTTCAGAGAGGAAGGGAGAGGGAGAGATAGAAATATCAAGGATAAGAGAGAATCACTGATCAGCTGCCTCCTGCGCGCCCCACACTGGGGATCGAGCCCGCAACCCAGGCACGTACCCTGACGGGGAATCAGACCTTGACCTCCTGGTTCATGGGTTGACGCTCAACCACTGAGCCACGCCTGCCTGGCGCAAACCGTTTACTCTTAAGTGTCCTTGGTTTAGGGGAAATAGGGTTTACTAGGCTGCTGTAAACTGCTGTTTAACTCTCTGTCTCAGTTCCCCTATTTTGGAATTTTCCTAGTTTCTTACTATTCTATAACATGACTGGGTCCAATCTAGGGTTTAGCACTATTATACGATTTTTTAAATCATTGTAATGGAAAACTCTCTTTTTTAAAAACAAATTGTTGATTGATTTTAGATCGGGGAAGAGAGAGAAAGGACATGAATTTGTTTCAGCTATTCATGTGTTCATTGTATGTGCCCTGATGGGATGGAATCCACCCCTAACCAACTTGGCTACCCCGCCAGGGCCCAAAACTTACCGTCTTTTAAAGACTCACTTTAAAACCAAGGTGCTTATTTGATGTGATCTCTTTGCTAAGTTCGCTTTAAAGTGACTTACAAATCCCTTGGGCTTTATTTTTCTGTCAAGTGATCTTTATCTCCTAGTTCTTTAACATAGGAGAGGTACCCTAGCTTTGGGTGCAATTATTGTATCCAACTTTTAGTAACTGCATTCGCTCGAAAATCGTACCTGGAAGAAAAGCGCTTGCTTTGTAAGATCTACCTTTGCCTGTGGGCTCTGATGAAGGGAATGACTCTGAAATGCCGGTTTGCAAATCAGAAGCCCTTTCGTGTTTAAAGAGTTAAATACGAGCTTGGCTGCCGTCCACAGCCCCCGGAGAGCCCCGGGGGGCTCGGGCGCGGGCGGCCGGGCGGACCGGCCTGGAGGTGCGGGGGCCGCGGGACTCCGCCCGAGAGAGGGCGGCGCCCCGCTTCCCCGCCCCGCCCGCCCGCGGCCCGGCGCCCGGCACCCCCGCGAACCCCCATGATAAAAAAGGAAGCAAACAACTCACTTCCCGCATCTATAGCAAGCAATGTTTTAGATGGCTACAATGTAATCAGGCATATAAAAATTTTAATTGGAATTGGGCAGGGCCAAACCAGAAGCAGTTAGAAATACCCCACCCAGGGAACAGAGCTTTATAAAGAAAAAAAATGTAAGCGACTCACGGACATCACTTGACTGGCTGTAGCTTGAGTGTTTGCCTTATTTAGAAAGCCTAGCTGGCTGTATGGGATTGGTGTCCTTCCATGTGATATCTTGACCGTGAGGATTTATGGGCTTAGATTTTGCTTGCTTATGTGCTGCTAAGGATAGGACTCCTTCAGTCTAATTGTCCTTCTGGTATTAATAGGACGGGGCTTGGAACATATTTTGCACATGAACAACAGCACTTAGAAGCTG